TTATGGTTGGATCGCAACATTTCACTGTCGGGGGTCTTTGACACATCGCGAGTTTCACCTATTGCACTAGATACGTCCTAGAAATGGGTCATCTCAATAGTAAAGCGTTCGAAAGCTCCTCCTACACGAAACTCGTAGTAATTCTGTCATTGACCTTTCCTTCTCGCGCCTAGCGCTCGGAGCCATCAGCCGCATGTGACACTTAACGCGATTTCGGGTAGGGGATGCGAAAATAATTAAATTGATCAGTATCGTCGATGACTCGAATATAAAACAACAGAAAATATGATAAAGCTAATATTATTAAAACCAAACAATCACATATTGTGGTTTAGAAAATGTAATGGCGATAAATCTCGGTCAAGTCAGATGTTTTTAAGCGTCCCACTCCTACGACTTTTTTTAATAAAACCCAACCATCTGAATAACTGTAGTGACGGTCCGTATTAATTTACTGTTTGACGACAAAAATTGTTCAAAATACGTTTCTGTTACATTTTGTGTAAAATGTAACAGACAACTTGTTTTCGTTTTGTCAACTAAAATAGTTTAGATACATAAAGATATACAGATAGTTTAATATGCATAATACAGATAGTTATTGAGGTGGAGGATACCACAAAGTACACAAACTTATATCTTTTTAAAATACCAATGTTTTTTTGAAGCTTTTTTAAGGCCATTTAAATCAAATAACTGGCATACTGTGCCTTTTGATAACAATGAAATAGGTACATATTTTGTCGGGTATATACATACATACATGCACAAATAATTACTGAGTTTATATCTGAAATCAATAATCATCTGTCTTGTAACATAAACTAAGGACGTTAACATTACTAATGGATAATTTAGTTGATAATTTTAGTATAAAGCATTTCTTTTCGGCATACTTTTTTTACATTGTACGCAGAGCACAGTCCTCTTTTCAAATCCCTAGAAAAAATTTTCATGGATACCTACTATATTTCCACTCCACTATGTGGATGCGAGAGTAATTAGAGTTGTCATTCACAAAGGACCCCGCACAAACCTTTTTGAAAATTGGCCCACGGCGTACAAAATATTTGCTAATTTTTTCAGAATCACCGAGTAAATACAAGGTCTTTTTAAACGTGATTTTTTTCGAAATTTTGAAATCTAATAAAGCCCACCTAAAATAAAATACAGGTTATTTAAAAAAACACAAATTAAATATATTTGATATTCTCATATAGAAGGTAGTGCAACAATTAATACATTTTTTGATGTTTAAGGCCCGTATAGTATCCACTGAAAATATGCTGAAATATTTATACTAAAGTAAATTTTGAAAATAAACTTTATTTAAAATACGACTGTAAACTATTCCTGACATTTGGAGCACTCATATTCCTCATCATCGAACTCCGTAAGACCGAGACACTCTTCGTGAGCCCATTCGTTACATCTTGCGCATTTTCGCAATTCGATGTGTTTGGCACAGTGAACAAAACCAATTTTCATTTTGCTTATATTTAAATTTTGAAGAAGGAGTATTACGAAATGTATTCCTTTCAGAAAAAACTTTTCTTTTTGCCTCCTTCAATCTTATATTGTATTTTTGTGACTGCTTACTGGATGTTGAAGGTTTAGGAGACACATTTTCTTTTTCAGAAAAAAATGTTTTAGTCATAACTCATGCCTTGTAATTTAGAGATTTCTTTCTAATCACAACCGTATTTTTCAAATCCTTATCCGATGTGTCCATAAGCTCGTGAAATGAAGTGTTAGGCGCATCTTCATTTTCTTTGTTATATTGTTGTCGAATAAAATCGGCTAAAGGAATTTCATCTTCACTTGAAAATTCGTTAGTCTGTCGTGGATTTTCTTTAAATATTTGAATGCTTGGAGCAAATGCAGCATCAGGGATTTGAGACGGATTGAAAGGAATATACCAGTAGTCCTAAACCCATTAATTATATTTTCCTGGGTCATGTATTTACTCCAAACTTTAGTAAATATAATGTTGAATCTGGCCTTAGTAATTTGTCTGTCAGAATAGGTACCCAATATCTTAGTACTTCTTGATCCCAATTGGCCTCAAAAGATCTATAAACAGATTTATCTAATGATTGTAGTTCGTGATTGGTGTTGCTTGGTAAGCATAATAATTTAATACCATGTCTATCGGCAGCATCCACAATTGCATAATCCAGGTGACAGCGCACACCATGAGCAAAAATGAGCAAAATTGGTCCAGCGAGTAATAAAACAGAAAAATTCTGTAGTCATACTACCTCTTGGAGCCATTTTTACTAGTGTTCCACTAGGTAGATTATCTTGAAATTCTGGTTTTAGGCGTTTGCCTTTAAAAATTATCATAGGAGGTATAACAGACCCTCCTGCAGAGACGCACCCAACTACCGTTACGTTTTGAGTATTGTTGCTTTTGTTACGCTTTAAAGCTAGAACTTTGTGGTGGTGCAGAGTTAATCTGCAACCTTTCTCATCCATGTTGAAAATGCGTTCTGATTTATTTTTGAAGTCCATCTCATTTAATACATTTTCCAGTGTGATGAAATATTCATTTACAATGAATTTATTTAATTTTTGAGCTCGGGCCGGGTTCATATTTTGTGCTTTGCGTAACGTCAACTCTTTAAATGTCTTTAAATAGTTTAAACTAACCCTTTCCAGCAAGTTGCTTGGACACATTAAAATTATGGCGAATGTCATTGGGCTCACAAAATCTAAAAACTTGATGACGAGCAATTTTCTGGGTAACCTATTGATGCTAATCGTAAAATTCGTGAAACCAATTCGTTTTCTTGCATTTTAGTTAGCAAAGAATTCCTTCCCAATTTACGTTCATTACAACCGGTTGCCAAATGGTTTCTTAATGTTCTCCTGGGTATGTTAAAGCGACCAGAAGCTGCGACATTCCCCGTTTCATTGCGCGCATGGCATTTTCCATGTCTGCATTTGTCCATTTTGCTATCATATTTCGACAGTGTTTTCCCATATTATGAGCTGAAAAATAAAGATCTTATTTTCATTAACACGTGAAGTGGTAGAAATAAGCCTCACTATGGATAGAAATAAAGCCCACTAAAAGTTTTTAATAGGCCTTATTTCTGCTATGACCACTTTTTAGGTTATATGGAATTTTAACTGAATAGGAAATAAAAAAGACACCTCACTATATTTAAATTTGTTAAGCAAATACCGGTACCAAATTGTACGCATTCGGTTAACACTACCAACTATGCGCAAACGGCTAAAGATGTAACTAAATAATTCTTATGAGAAAATATTTAGGTATAATACGTTCTTTTTCTCCACTTAAGTTCTATAATTTATTTCAAGATGGCGCTAAATTATGATGCGGGCCTTATTGCACTCCGGGCCTTATTTGTCGTCCTTACCTTATAAAAGTTTTCATTTGAAGATAATTTGAATTCTTATTTCATACCAGCATTTCGCATTTGAAATTTTAGAATAGCTGTATCTTTAAGAAAATGAATATTTTGCAAAAAAAAAAACACTAGAATAAAAAATTTTTATATCCACTTGGCAATTCTGAAAAAAAAAATGTTTTGCAAGCCATTTCCAAGATAATCTGGTGAGGCAGAAGTTTTTTGAAAAATATTGCTATCATAGCCTTCTACTTAGATCTAATAATCATCCACTAAAACACTATGTGGGTCCCATGCTTCGTTACGAAAATTCGAAAATCTCAAATTCCACCAACCGCCACTGTTCAGTAGTTTTTTTCTGAACAAAACAACTGTTTTTTTTTACGAAACAAAAAGGTTCTAAATACTTATATTTTGAAATATGTGTGTTTAGGGTTAGCTACATACAAATGGTGACCCTCACAACTGTGAATGTATTGGTTGTACTGGGGAATAGAATTTGACAAAAAAAAATTGGATTCAGTGTGTAATTTGTTCATTTTGGTTGTAGGAAAACTACACGATATATAAAAATATATGCCAAAAATGTAGTAAACATCGCTAGTAAGAAAAAATTTATTGGTTGAAATAATGTCCATTCTCATTTTATTTAATTTTGGCTGTTCGTTTCTAACTTGTATGGCAGTCTCTCCTATATGAATTGGAAGAGATGGCCAGGACCAACGTTTTGTTTTTGTTCATACCATGGCCAACTATCCTTGATTTACTCTATACTATTCCGTTAAAAATAACTGCATATGACGTCAGAACTCACAAAATGGTGATGTCACGAGCATGAAAAACAAACCAAATTAAGCGCCACTAAAATTATTAGTTAAAGGGATCACCTACTCAAATGGCTTACAAAAAAAATCGATGTTTATTACATGTGTATGTATAACCTACACTACAGAATGTGCCCCAAATAAATTTGTTTAAATTATAAAAATTGTAAAAGTTACGAAGCCGAAAAGAACACCGAGAAGGCGAAGCGAGCCAGGATTGAATAGAGAATGTAAGGTCTCAAGAATCCGGGTTAAAAACTTTACATGTGTTTTTCCCAAAATTATTTTTTTAAATTGATTGATAGGATATCTCTGAATCATGAATATCAAAACTGCTGAACCGATTCTGCTCAGATTTGGACGGTGTGTTCATAACATCTACCACTGTCTGAACTACGATATTTGTAATACCTCGCATAGTTTTTTTTCTTTGGCTAAAGTCAAAAAAAAAAATTAACAGTCAAAAAAACTGACTAAAATCGGTCTTTTACCTTCAAAATCGTGTCAAATATTTGATTTTTAATATTTTGATCTAATTTGGACGACAGCCATATTTCTACCAATTAAAAAAATAAAAAAGTCCTTTATTTTTCGCATGGACTCTTACGAGACCTATAGAGTCGATTCCATCCCATATTTTTACTTGAAATTTTTATGGAAAACTATTGATATATAAAACAAATCACACCACAGAAAGCCGACATTCTCCCTCTAAGAGTCATTACAACTGTGCAGAGGGAGAATACACATGGAAAAGACGTAGGACGCACAACCAAACCCTGTGACAGGTGCCAATTGCCACAGGCGGGATTCGAACCCGCGCGGACAATAGCTCTCGGAGTAATCGCCTCACTGGCGCTTTACCCACTGATCTATCGCCGCGGCTAATTCTGTGTATGTATTAGGAAATGAAAAGTGAAAAAAATCCACACTGTATACTGACGCAATTTTGTACAAAATATTTAAAATTATTATTAAGCAAATAGTATTGTTTACTCAAAGGATAAAAAGTCGTCGTCTGTGGTCTGTCAGTGGCAGTGGTGTCTCAGGTACTAATTTGCAAGTACGTTGCGCTCAACTACGACTATTAACCAATCTAAAGATGATCTGACCATGCATTACATCAGTTGACACTGACTACAACTAGTAATCCATGTGGATTGGATTGTTAAAAACTGTTGAAGTCAATGCCCCTATTCAAGCAACCACAGACTAGTGGTCGTTGTGTTGTAAATGTGAATTAAACCTAATTGCGAAAATATTCAGCAAGAAACCTTTCGGGCTAAAAGTTCGTAAAAGAATCATAATTACGGTTTTTGTATAAAAAAGCCTCTCTATACAGTTATTATTATACTTCCTTGTCGATTACTTTTTACAATCGTTCATCCATATTCGGAAAAGGAAATATTTGTTAATTTTAATTAGACTGAAAAGAAATTACACGTAACAGTTAATTTCTACAAAAGGGACAGGGTAATAATACACCTAAAATTGACACACTTTATTTCTGTTTATAATTTTCATTGAGTTCTAAAATTTAAAAAACAATTTCACATATAGTGAAATAGTCAAAAAAAAATCAAATTGTAAAATACAATATCCTGTATTTTTTTTATTAAAAATATTATCTGTAGTTTTCTGATCACAAAATATATAACCACTGCATGATAACTTCAACTGCTTTCGTGATATCTGTTTTTTTTTCTTTGTTTTGGGGTGTTCTTTAAACAAAATCGCACCCTTAAAATTTGAATGACGTTTTTAATTTTGTTTAAGTATTCTAAATATTATTTAAAAAAATGAGTAAAATACTTTTTTTATTTGCGATTCTAGGAAAATGTAAAGATAAATATGAAGACCAACATATGAGACAAATAAAGATATTATCAGTTTTAGTTGGCCTGGTTGGTAACCCTGTATTCGAAAAATGATATGTACCTACATGTTATATACCTACCAGCAAATATTATGAATAAATAAAAAAAGTAGTAGAATGCGTCGTCTACCAATTACATTTATGTATTTATACAACCTAATAATATACTACTCTACTACGAGTATATTCAGTTTTTGAATCTTTTTTTGCTTCAACTGCCCGAAGGTAAACCATTTATTAATAGTAAATTGAAAAGGAGAATTTCATACAGAAATCCTGTGAGTCATCTGTTAATACGAAAAAAAAGCCTTAACAGTACCTGCCTGGTAGAAGTAGAATAATGTGCAATGTCAATGTCCTTGTTTAATTATTAGCACCCGTACTCTGGCGGGAAAAAAATTAGAAAATAAACAATGTATCTGAAAGCCAGTCAACCATACTTATATCAATCGTTTTTAGAACGAAATTCCAGTTTTATTCATATCGATTATATTATAGTTACTAGAACCGCTAAATTTCTGTTGAGAAAAAAAACGACATAATATAATAGGAGAATTTTTTACTACTCCGTAAAGTATTAAAGTTACAACACAGTTTTTATGTACGAGTATTATACAAAATTTAAACATCTTAGAGATTACTCTTGGTTATAGGGTCGAGTTATATCGTTCTGTTTTAGTTTATCACTTTCATTTTACTTCGTTATCCATATTGGTATAAGACATACGAGGTGTGTAGATTAGGTAATGAGACGGTTTTTTTTTTTTAATTCTTTTATTCAAATAGATAATTACTCAAATCACAATTCAGTATTAACTCCTTCAAAATAACTTCCTTGGGAAGCCGCACAGAGCTGGAGGGTTCTTCCGTACCTCATAGCAGTGCTGGAACTTCCTTCTGGAATAGCCTTCCAGTTACTTAACACATTTATTTAATCGACAAATCTTTGTTAAATAAGCAAACATTTATACATCGTGTCTTTTTGTATAAATGATGTCCTTTAGTCCGACGTTATGTCCTTTTAGAAATGACGTCCTGATGTTCTTTCTAATAATAAAAACACTACAGGTTATACGATTTTTGGTTTATGGCTAACTAATAATAATTGGTTCATAAAAATATTCTAAATAATGATGCATTAATACAAAATACGAGTTTATGTCACAATTCGAAAACGTGTAAATTATATCCTTGCCTGTTCTTTCATATCTCCAAAAATAAATGAGATAAAAGACATGGGTCGATGATAAATAATTATTTGATTATAATCAATAACCCTGTACTAAACTCGAACGGTAATCTATTACACCTCTACGTTGTTCTGTGCTTGATCAAAAGTTGGATCCCGTCGGTTCTTTTAAGTAGATAGAGATGCCGCATAAACCTGAAGTATAATTCATATATTAAATAGAGAATTTTCTTCAACGTTCTTCAAAGTCGTTAGAGTAGTAGAAATGCAATCCGTGTATGGTGCAGTTATATAGCTTGAGTGTTGCAAACTGTAGATGTCATGTGAAAAACAAGAAGCTAAGTATTATAATCATTTCAAAAGTTCAGACATGTATTCATTTCATATTATATTAATCTACACGTAAGTATATTAACCATTTTGATTCGAAAATTTGGCGAAGGCGCCAATATTACTAACAGAGTCTAAAAAAACAATGTTCATAGGGAAACTTTAGAGTTCAGCTGCAATTAATTTTATCTAATGTGAATTAATTAGAACTGTCTATAAAAGATAAGTAATAACTTCATTTAATTGTTATGTTTTGAGAGATTTGATAAAATTTAATAAAATTCCACAAAAAATTGGTGGTTCTTCCCAAAAAATCTGATATTTCTTAAAATTGGTTGTTTTATATTATTTTAAATTTAATCGTTTAAAAATGTCGGTCTAAAACTTTTTCTGCATACATTGATTTTTTTGTCAAGACACAATTATAATCGCTCTTGCTTTTTAATTCGCGTCCTTGTTTACGAACCAATATCTTGTTCATTCTACTTGATGAACTTAATGAAGTTCTAATTTCAATTAAATTCCAAAGCGGAGAAAAAATAAATTACTCAATTACTGAATTATTTCTTTTATCGCAAATGGTGATACTATGCATTATTCTTCCTTGAATGAAAGATTTGAGAAAAATATTAGGCGGATACATATTTAATTCTACGAGGATTTTTTATGAAATATTTTAGAGAAACTCTTCTTTATGAATTTGTTACCCTGTTTTATGTTATACTTTATTTTTTAAATAGAATGTTACAGTAATGTGAGGTAAGTGGGGGTGAGTGGGGTAGTCAGAATAAAATCAAGGTTACAGCAAAAAGTTGTTTGGTTTTAATGAGCTATTATATTATTGCTATATATTTATATAGCAATAAAATAAAACAAAAATACAGTAACAGGTATTATATAGATGTCACTAACATTTTTTTTTTATATTTATTTATTTATAATTTCACGGTAAGATATGGGGTTACTTCAACGTCGCAAGGAATTTTAATAAAATTTTATTTTATTCATTTTAGGATTTAAAAAGAACTAGTACTATTTTTTATATTCTATGATTTTATTTAATTTTCCAAGTAGTTTTCCGGACCCGCCCCCAAAAAACCCCACCAACCCCCCCCCCAAAAAAAAGACGGGATTTTAAAAAAATAAAACCAGGGTATTTCCATTTGAAAAGAATGAGTGAAATGACCTTTAAATTAAAAATTGTTCCTAATATTACAACTTCAGATAAAATCCATTTTTACCAATTTTGGGGTGAAATTAGAATGATTTGATGTTTTACTCCGTTCACAGCACTTGAAAAATTACTCTAGGATTGAAAAATAAAAATTGAAACTGCGAAAAATTTCTAATTAAAATTGATTATTTTGATGCCTTCTTATTCAGAACGACTGATAAATTAAAGTTATACAAAGATGTACAGGGTACCCCATTTATAAGTTCCTATTTAAATCTTATAACTCCAAATATCAAGCTATTTGCAGCAGTGGAAACCCGAAACGCTCTCTTTCCGTTCAAAAGTTACTGAGTGTACCCTGTCTTCGTAGACACCCGGTATATACACACACACACACGCACGCAACAGCGATATGGACCATATCCTTGACGATCGCATGCAGAAGGCGGCGGACAAAGAGAGAAGTCACGAAGGCAAGGCTGAAGGTTGGGAGTGTAAAGCGTGCACGGCGAGTTCGTTGACATTTAGTCGGGGAACCGGGGTTATTCACCTACTGAAAGTTGGAATACCGGATCACGACTGGTGCGGTATCCGGCGTGTACTTACTGACCCACTGTCCAACTCCACGTACATGCAAATCGGGCGCTACGAGCTACGACCAAACATACACACACACACACACTATCCGCCGCACCGTGGCAATGGCAATAAGTCAGTCAGCGAATATGCCTTTTACTGGTACACGGTGCGCGAAATCAGAGGATCTAAAGGCTACACAGGGTGTCCACTTTTCTGATGAGCGATTCATTAGCGACTTCTAAACCGTAAAAGATAAGAGATCGGTTAAATTAGAGAAGAGTTTCGCTTTTCATGGGTCAGGAACTTGACCCTACAGGCGTTTCTAAACAATACTGAAAAAAAAAACGAAAAAATGTTATTTTCGAACTTTAGAAACGGTAGAATATAGATAAAACATTCTTCGGATAAAAGTTGAATGGCATTCTATCCTCTGTATTTTTGTATCCCGGGTATCCAAATTTTTATTACACAGCCAATATCTCGGTTGTTTGAAGAGATTGAAGTTCGGGATGAAGAAAGAAGTTGTAGGAGTGGAAGTAATCTTTATTAGGTATTCCTACAGGGTTTGTCCGGAAAGTAACGTCAGTGAGCTTTGAAAAATGGTTTTTATTGGTTCTATGTGTACAAATCTTTAGAAACTTTCAAAATACATTCCTCCTGCGTCCACACATCGGTTCCAGCGGGTCTTCCACACATCAAAAGCCGCACGGTAGTCGTTTTCCGGAATCGCCTTTAAA